TTTTTAGAAAAACAAGTCATTTTTTAATGAAATAATAATCATAATTTTCATGCTTAAAACTAGTCCAAGGTTGTCTAGTTGGTATTTTTAACTTGAATATTTTTTTTTTCCTTTTCATAAGAAAAAAAAAAGAAGATTAGACTGTCCGTTTTTTTTTGTACTTTCAGTGAAATGTTTACTGTTTGTGTTTGTGTATCTCTCTCTCTCTGTGTGTGTGTGTGTTAACATGCAAAATTGGCTAATGTAATAATGAGCATGTCTTAAATCTAGTTTTAAGTATCTACTGGCTTTGATAAGTGTAATGCTTTCTTGTAACTAGTTTACATGGTGATTAGAAAGTTTCTTCTATTATGCATTAAAATTACTTGGTAAATTTTAGTATTGATTTGGATTTATTCATGAATTGTATATCTAATCAAATATAAGCATATGTGAATAGGTGTTACTGAAGATATTACATCTCATGGTCAGTCAATCAGTCAGTCAGTTATCTACAATGTAGGACCAGGCACATATATGCATTGGTCCAAGTTGCCATAACTCATTAACACAACAGAATGAACAATGAATTCATAGAAGTAGTTAATTCATTGATGGTAATATATCAAAGAGAGATTGCATATAAGGATATATTACAGGAATACTTCGGATCCATTGGTCAGTCACTATGAGCAACAACCTACTGTGGGAGAGAACCAACCAGATTCCAGTGAAGGAAGAAATCACGAAGAAGCGCTAGAAGTAGATAAGACACACATTGAGAAAAGCACTGAACTGCGTCACAACACAAGCCCTCAATTGAAATCCTCAAAGTCAAAGGAAAAGAGGAAGACCAAAGAACACATTAAGCCGAGAAATGGAGACAGACATGAGAAGAATGAACAACAATTGGATAAACTAGAAAGGAAGACAGAGTGGGACATAGTGTTTTGGGGAATGCTGGTCGGTGGCCTATGCTTCATTGTTGGTAACAGCCGTAAATAAGTAAGTAATGTAATACAGGAAGAAAGTATTACTTCGTAGAAAGAAATACATGAAGCGACTGGTCGTAGTGGTCGTAGTAGTAGTAGTAGTAGTACAAGTATTTATAAACAAATGTCTACACATTTATACTCATATCCGTTTGTTGGATATCATCAGCAACAACCTACTGTGGGAGAGAACGAACCAGTTTTCATCTGTAGAGGAAGTCAGGAAAAGACGTTGAAAGTGGATAGGACGTACATTACGGAAATAATTAAACTGTATAACGAAGCAAGCATTAATTTGGAATCCTGAAGGGAAATGAAAAAGAGGCAAGTCAAAGGAGACACTGTGTCGGCAATCGGAAGCAAACATTAAAAGCATGAATATCAAGTGTAAAGAATTGAAAGGTAGAGTCGAAGATAGAGTTGGGTCGAGAATGCTGTTAGGTGGTTTATGTTTCCACGAGGTGTAAATAAAGTGTAAGTAAGGTCGACCACAAAATGACTTCATCCACATATTTTTTCCAGGAATTTCCGAACATTCTCAGTCAAACATGCTAGCAACCTCCCTCTCTCGTTCTCCATTTTTATTTATCCGCACACATAATACTTATATGGCACAGACCTGGACATTAAACACACACAAACACACGCGAAGTGCACACATTAAAAGAAGAGACAGACTAAGATGGTTAGAAAACAACAAATTAGAAAGCATGTAACTTCTCATCTAAGAAAATACGATCTATTACGGTTTAAGAAAATGATCTAATCAAAAATAAAGTTCTCTTTAAAAAGAAGGAGGTTAAAGTAAATTCAATGAAATAACTACTCAAAATATTCAGGAAAAGAGAACATCAGCATCAACGTAAGCACAGTAAACTAGATAAAATTATAATTAACTTGGTTTTACCTTATCCGTATGTATCCATGAAATTGAATAACAATGAAATCAGCTTCTTCTCAGGACTAAGTTCTATTGAGCATAAACCAGATAACTAAACCAATGATTTAGCAACAACAACAACAACAACCCCCCTTTATCGTTAGGATACGGTATAACTAGAACAAAACAGTTTCATTCTATCATACTTAATCGATATGGTAAATAAAAGCATATCATTTAGAACAATTAGTCGTAGACATACTACCCTTCCTTATGAGGTTCATTTTAGTCTGTTACGTTTAACATCAGTTAGAGGGATATGAACTAACAATACATGTCTTTGTATTCCTCATAAATTTACCGAATAAAGCTTGATAGTACCCCATTGATTCGTCCATTCTTTTCTTTACTCAATTATCAAATATATTCTTTACTATGTAAATTATAATAAATTTTAACGAATGTCATTTCAATGTTTATGTTTTCCAAGTGTGTTTCATCTATGTCTCACTGTGAAATATTAATTCAAGCCTTTATATTACTGTTATCCAAATTAGTACACCTGCAATCACATTATCAATTCGTACCTTTTACTTATTATGTTTATTGAATATGAATACAGTGGTCTTGAGTGTTGTTAGAAGTATGAGGGCGGTTATCACATTCCGGTTGCCCACATCATGGAAGGGTTCTTCTAGAGGTACCTGAAAAGGAAATTGGATTAGAGGTGGTCTTAGTGATCTGAGAGCGTGACCGCAGTGCCCAAGGGATAATTGCTTGAGGTCGGTCACGCACGACCTTTTTATGAGTAATTTTTGTGTTAGCTCCGTACTTGTTGAGACCTTAACACTGGGGACGGATATCCGTGGGATAAGGTGATGTGTTCATTTTTAGGGTTGACCTTTTCTAACCGCACCCCTCCTTATGGGAACGAAACACTACACTGCTATCACACCTCCGTGAAGTCAGTAGTACGACTTCGCTCTCAACCGTTGGGTTTGTTGCTTTTAGTTTTACCGCTCTTCAACCGACCTGTCTGGCATGGTAGGACGTTGAGGAACGGTTGTTCCAGCCAGTATAGCTCAGTTGCTTCATCATGATAGGCAAACCTGACCATTACGTCAAAGTAGCAACAACGGTCGGGATGTTTATTGATGTATTCCGTAGTACCTGTAATAGTATTGACTGAACAGTAGGTTGTAATAGAGTAGGTATAAAAGAGAAAGTAGAAGATTAATAATAAGAAATTAAAGTCCACAGAAATGAAGGGGTTTTGCACAAGTTACTTTAACTTATGTGTGATATTCTTATCAGAATGATCTTAAGTCAAATGTTATCGACAATCAAGGAACATTTGTGGTGTGTTTCATTCTAGTATGAGATTCATTTATCTACTCAACCCCTTAAGACACTTTGGTATTACTTCAATAATTATTTAAAGTTTGATCTCTAGTTATATTATTTTCATTGATCATATTCTGTTGATCAGGTTACAATATGGTCATTAGTCTAAACATTAAACAACGAACCCTGGAATTATTGAATAGATATTTCATTCTATTTTAAAAATCTCATCAGTTCACATTAACCTTCTAAATTAAAGTGTACTCTAATATAACCAGGTTATTAAACTAGAAATATGAACATTATGAGTATTAAGTTAAACAGATTGGTACCATAGCAACAGTTTGATATTTTTATGAAAGTTATAAAGAGATATTGATTTATAATAAGTTGATTATCTAGTATATTTTTCCTATTGATCATATAGTTTGTCTGAAGTGAATGTATTAACATTGTGAGTTTCACCATATACTATATTATATATTACTAGTCTCATCTACACTCTTCAAAGCTTTAAAACAATTCAATATTTAAAATTTTACTCTTTAACTACTATCATAATAAGTTTTTGTGGATATGGTGGATGGTCTTTTTATCCTAGTGTGGAACTCCTTATCAGCGCTCATCCATGATTCGACCTTGCCAGATTCGGACCCAAAACCTACCACTGGAGTCGGTATCTAACTTCAATGAATCCATGAAATTGAGTGATACATCTTTGACTACTATTATCTTATTATAAGTAGCTGAAAAGATTATAAACAAAAACATGTTTCATCTAATTAATAGTTTGTCTAAATAATGTGAATTCACATTTTAACCTAATTTTTGGACAAACTAAATTGATTAGTACCTTGATCCATTTAACATAGAACAGTTTATTGAATATTTTATTTATTTTTTTCTATTTTTTTCTGATAGAAACAAGAGTATGAATGAAATAGAACAATGGGAATTCACTTTCTTTTCTTTCTATCTTTGCTGTTGTTTTTGCATACGCATATGGTGATTACAAACAAACAAACAAACAAACAAACGAGATAACAAGTTGTATTATCAAGATGTCTGAAACTATTCACATTACTTTGGTCACGTTGTGTTGAATTATTGAATGTTTTTTTGTTTGATTCAAGTGAATTTCCGGTCACATGATTGAGATTCTTTACTCGATAGTATTCACTGATCATTATGTTAGACTGATTGTGTGATTTTATAGGAACTATGAGAACTATTAGATTAATTAGTGACACCAACTCATCTTAAATTATAACTAATATATAATTTCACTGGTTGAAATCATGAATCCATTGAAGCTAGACCACCATGGAAAAGCTGGAAGCACTGAACGGCCGTTTCGTCCTAGTATGGGACTCCTCAGCAGTGCTCATCCACGATCCCACCCCCGTCGCGAGATTCGAACCCAGGACCTATCAGTCTCGCGCCAGGCGCTTAACCAACTAGACCACTGAGCTGGCGAGCATCCAATGATGTTAATGTCTAACTTTAACCAATCCACGAAGTTGCGCCACCGTACACCATTGTCTTCAGTGAGCTGATATCTCACAACAGACCTGGTTGAACTCCACTGATAACGGCTTCTCACTAGAACTCCAGGAGTATCTCCTGAAGTCAGTCACTAGTGAGCAGATGATTATTATTATCAGAAGGGATTGTGTGGAGATTTTAGAAATTTCACTGGTTGAAATCATGAATCCATTTAAGCTAGACCACCATGGAAAACCTGGAAGCACTGGACGGCCGTTGCGTCCTAGTATGGGACTCCTCAGCAGTGCTCATCCACGATCCCGCTCCTCGCGAGATTCGAACCCAGGACCTGCGAATACTACTACTACGTCTACAGCTGCTACTATGACTAAGACCACCACTACTACCACTACTACCACTACTACCACTACTACCACTACTACCACTACTACCACTACTACCACTACTACCACTACTACCACTACTACCACTACTACCACTACTACCACTACTATTATATTATTAATTTAATAATCTTTAAAATTATGGTTGTGTATGTATAAGGTAACGGCTAAGGGTTCATTAGACTACATCTTTGTCCAAGTTTAACACATAAAGTACAATTGCATATTGAGTGTTTTTTCTTTGCTTCTACACAGACGACAAGTTTATTCATGTTGTGTTTATAATATCTCTTCCAGTTGCTGTTTTTGGTAACTC